CTTCTTGATTTATTATTCCTCCAAAATAGCTAGGATTATAGGCATGAGCCACTGGTGTCCAGCACAGATTTAACTCTTGAAAACGTAAATCTGATTGTATTACACTGCTGCTTAAAACCTGTCCCTGGATTCCCATTGCTGTGGAAATAAGGACCAAAACCCTTGGAGTGGCCTCTGAGGCCCTCTTTGTATTCTGTCATGCCTTCCTCATTTTACACCAAGCTTCCCAGCTGTTCTTATTCTCATACATGCTGTTTTTCACATAGTGCTCCTCCTTTTAAAGCTTTCATACATGCTGTTCTTGCTACCTCAACTGTTTCCTCCTACACCTCCTCCCTCGTGCCTCCCATGTGCCTATATTCAGATTGACTCTAAAATTTAGCCTAAGTATTGCTTCCTCAAAAATAACCTCCTCACACACACACAAAGTCAGACCCTAAGTTATATGTTATCTTCTGTTCTCCAGCATAACATTATATAGCTCTTCTAATTAAGTGATTACTTTTGTGATTTATTTCTCAATTTCTGTTTTCTCTGATATTCAGTCCACGAAGCTAAGAATCTTGTCTTAGTCACCAGGGAATTCTCAGTGTTTTATCCATGGTAAATTCTGGGAGGAAGCACACACAACCTTTTATAATGTGTGACTAGAAGATTCTCTCTCTCTTAATGAAGGAAGCATGTTTTGGCCCTTTTTCCTGACATCATTAAAATATTCTAATTTTGCTTCATGTTTCTCAATGGAAATTACACTTGTTTATTTCCTGGATTTGTGTATGCTAAATACATGAGATGTTTTACATAAGGATTATTTAAAGTTACCAAATGGGCCTTTGAAAAATCAGTTACACATTAAATTATAAAACAGGAAAGACTTAAGAAAAAAGTGGCCTCTTATGATACAATAAATCACTTCAGATTCCTGCTTATATTTACATCATAAGTATAAAGTCTTTGACTTTCTGTCATTGATTTATAACAGCAAACCTTTTCTGTAATGGGCTAGATAGTAAATATTTCAGACCTAGCAATCATATTCTTTCTTTTAGCACTACTCATTGCTACCGTTATAGCACAAAAATAATCATGACATTTATGGGCACTCAAATTTGAACTTTATATAATTGCCATGTCAAGAAATATTGTTTTTCTTTTCATGTTTCTTTTTTCCTGCCATTTAAAAATGTGAAAATTTCTTATCTTGTGGGCAATACAAAAACTGACATATTTGGTCCTGGACCATATTTGCTGGCCCTCTGTGTTCTCCTTTATATAAATGTTCTAGCATGTACTCAGTTTAAACCTTTCTGGCAAAAAATGTGGCCTATTATGGAAAAAACTTGAAATTGTACAAAGATGTCTTTAAGAATAGTTCCAGATTTTATTTTGGTTTTGGGTTTGTTTGGTTTGGTTTGGTTTGGTTTCATTTGTTCTGTTTTTTTAATTTTTTTATTCATTTATTAAGCTTCATTTGGTTTTGAGATAAGTTCTTGCTATGGCCCTAACTGGCCTGGAAATTGAATTCAAGATCCTTCTGCCTAAGCTTCCTGCTGAGATTATAGGTATGTGCCATTACGCCTGGTGGCTTGTTTTGTCTAATAGATAAACATTCCATTTTTAAAAAGAAATTAATTCCTCCTGTATTTGGGCCCAAGCCTACCATATATTCTCTCTTGAGACCAGTATTTTAATATATAAAACCTCACTAGCATTGATTCTCAGCTAGAACTTGTAAAAGAAATTCATTTCTTGGATACAGTCTCCTCTATCTTGCCATCCTTCTAATTCCTTTACCACTCTCGTTGAAAAATGAGAAACATTTGGTTTTTTAATTCCACCAGTCAAAATCTTGATTTTGAAAAGTTATGGGGGTTGAAATTTAGCACTGACAATCAGTTGTGAACTATTGCCAGCATTATAAGAAAAGTTGCTAAGTGATCCCTGATCTTCAACTCTGGCTCCTCAGTGTCTCCAGAGAATTATTTTGTAGTGTGAACTTCATTTACCACCAGTAGTGACTGTGACTGAGGGGTAATAGTTTTGGACTGCCTTAACCATATTCTTAACAATGTAGCTTAATTTCTTTATATGGATCAAGATGCTTTTGGTGTGATGTTTTGAGTCACAATATTCCATGTCTTTCCTGATTTTTTTTATGAGTTGTTAGGTAAAATAGTTCATGCTTATTAATGTTTTGAAAAGATAAGGAACTCTTAATGGTCTGTTTAGAGTTAATTCATTAGGAGAGAATAGATGAGATTAGCAGAAGGTTAACTAAAATTTGATATCTGAAATTAAAATTAATGCACATAAGATTAAACTAATTATATGTTAATATGCTATTTTTCTTGGTACTGTCAGAAGCCTATAGAATAGGTTGAAAAAAGTATGCGATCTTTTTAGTTCATTTTTATTTTGTAGTTGAGAAAACTGAGGAGTAAGTACTTCCCCCGAATGTTATAGATACTTTGCATTGGATGCTTGAATTTGGAACTATTAAACTGATGTGTGAGCTCAGTCCTTTTGTATGACTCTCTCTATATAAATTCTTCCTTGATTTTGTTAATTTAAAAATATCTGTGTAGGGCTGGGTTTGTATCCTAGTGGTAGGCATGCTTGAAGACCTGGGTTCGAACCCTGGTACCACAAGAAAAAGAAGCAGCAACAGCAGGGATGGCAGAACAGCAGTGAGGGTGCTTACCTTTAGTCCTGCCTACTCCCAGGTTCAATCAGTAGGGTCACTTGAGCCCAAGGTTTCCAGGCCATCCTGGGCGACATAAGAAGACCCCATCTCAAGAACTAAATTCTTGATTAAAATGTGTAGTTGTCTCATATGATTTGAAGGTATTTTACACTGAAAAATCCTGAGATTTGTGCAAACTTAAAGGCATAGGTAGCCTTTACTGTCTTACACTTTTTCCCTTATCTATAGCTATCATTTCATTGACCTATGTTTTGGTTATTAATTTCCCAGGCAATTATAGCAGTTAATATTTTCTTCCTTTCAGATTAGCAGTATAATTTTACAAGTCTTTGTTTCCTGGGAAATGTAACTAATTAAAGCACTTGCAGTTTTTCCTTTTTTCTACATCTATTTTCAGCCAATAGAATTGAACAGAGTTTGTGTTTTCATTTTTAGCTATGTAGCTTTTCTAACTTAATTTAAAGTAATACAGTTTTTTTCCCCCACTAAAGCTAAGGATTAGGAATAATTATTGTAATGCTATTTATTTTTCCAAGATTCAAAATAAAAATCTTAGCTTCATTTTTTAAAATATATATACATATAAGCTCAGTAGTTTTCATTTACAAGTAATTGTGGAATATGAGCACTTTCATAGTCTAATGAATATGTGAAATGGTAGTATTTCCCCTTATCTGTTCTATACAATCTGTATCTAGTCACATGTAAATTGTATATTGTACATTTTGAGAAGTGTGCTAACTTAAGTGATACCATCATAAATGATATGTCTATTTCATTTATACTCTCCCTTTTAGAACTTTAAGTAAGAATACTGACATAAAATATTATTTCTTTAATTTTTAATTTTTGTTTTTGGTGGTACTGGGCTTTGAACTCAGGGCCTTGTGCTTGGCTGCCTACAGGCCCCCTTTTTACTTATTTTTCAGGTAGGGTATTGTACTTTTGCCTAGGGCCAGACTCAGTGTGTGATCATTCCTGCCTATGGATTCCCATGCAGCTGGGTTTATGGACATGTACTGCCATGCCCAGCTCATTTGTTGAAATGTGATCTCACTAACTTTTTGCCTAGGCTGGCTTCAAATAGTGATCTTCCCAATCTCTCTCTCCTATGTGGCTGAAGTTACAGCCATGAACCATGATACCAGCCTGGAAAAAAAATATATATTTTGCTAACTTTCATTTTTAAGTGGTCTTACACACACACACACACACACACACACACACACACACACACACACACACCCCCCACACACACACACCCCCCCCACACACACACACACACACACACACCCCACACACACACACACACACACCCCACACACACACCCAGAGAATTTTGCAGGAAATTGCTCTGATAGCCCTGCTACTAGTATTCAGTGTAGGAGATTAAGATACCAAAAATAGATCTTAGATCTCCGAGGTGAGACACTGCTTTGTTTTGTAGCTTTTGTGTAACCCTCCAATCCAGAACAAATGCCTCCCTAGAATGTGATGTAGGATGAGTGTTTTTGTCTATGCTTATGCAATTCTGTTCCATCTAAGTTGCAGTGACTGCAATTTTCTCAACCTATTGGCTTTGATTTTGATAGGCATTTTTCATTTTAAACAGTGGCCAAATGAAAAATGAATTTCATCATAGCTCTGAAAAGCCAGGTATTTTCCTTGGATTTCTGATTCTGACCAGAGGGATGGGGGAAGAGACACAAAACAAAACAAAACAAACCCTAAAGATATTTTAAGGTAAAAGTGAATTTAGATACTTTCTGTGTTGCAATTCATCTGTATGATTATGGAAATACAATTACAGAAAACGTGACCTTTCATGTTTTCTTAAACCCTTCATATTTTCTGTTTTTCATGCTTTTGGCAGATGAACAACTTTGCTAGGTAGTTTTTAAGTGAAGTTGACCAAATGCTTGAATCTTTTACTAGAAGGATGTTAAATTTCCTCTCAGATGTGACCGATGGTTAGGTTGAAAAGTCAGCTTGTCCTTAGAAAGCACACTGGAGAATGAAATGTACTAATGATTGTTGTGATGTCTTCTCTTGCTGTGGCTAATGGTAATCATCTCTTCTCCTTCTCCCTTTCCTGCTGCCTCTTCCCTTGTCTTCCCTGTCTTCCCATGTAATTTTTGAATTTATTAAATTGACTTATATATTTTTTCCTTGCTTTCCTTCTTTTAATTTTGTGACCTTTTACCCCTCTTTGTCTTCCCTACTTGCTTGGGTTCCATGTTGCTAGTTTTTATGTTCGCACGCTCATTATCACCCTTTTTTGTACTTCAAATCCCAGCAGCTGCCCAGCCAGGTCCCCGAGCACAGCCCTGTGGCTTACGGGACTGTGGAGAGCGCTCATCTTGCTGCCAGCACCCCTGTCACTGCAGCTAGCGACCAGAAGCAAGGTTTGTGTATGACTGTTTTCCTCCCTCTTATCTTCAATGCCTTTTATTAACTACATTTTTCTCAGCATTCAGAAGTAAAATACCTCAGGATTATTGAGACCTCCTGCTTTTCAACAAAGCTCTAAGGTGGAAAGTGTTCTACTTCTAGGAAGCTGAAGTAGGGTTGATTAGAAAAAAAGCCCTTGCCATTTCATTAATGCCTCACTGTGAATAGCTATATATTGATAAAAGCTTAGCTGCCTTAAACTGTTTTTTTAAATGTATGTTTAGAGGGATAAATTAGACCTGTTTAACTTTACTAGAGCAGCACAGATTTATATGTTCATTGTATCCTTGTGTATGTTGCTATCTTTACAAAAGATACAATGTTTCTTCTTACAGTTTTCTGTAGCCCAGTTAGAGCAAACAGTGAATTCTAGTCATGTTTTGAAATGACATAGCACTAGCAATTTGATCTTGAGTGAGGTCACTTAGCTTATATATCCCAGTTTCTTCACTTACACAACAGAATGAAGACCCACCTCGTTGTTGTGAGGACATGCCTAGCACATGAACAGCACTTAGTTAATTATAACTGTTATTATTGATGCTGGAATTGACCTTGAACATCAGATGCCAAACGTTCATGGGAATATAATACCTTCTGGAATATAAATGTAATCTTTAAGGAAAATCTCATGTCAAGAAAGTAAAATATCATAGCCTCTTTTTCCTGCCTACTTGGATTTTGGCTTGACCCTAGCAAAAACTGGGAAACAGTTCTCAGTAGGAACAGATGGAAGCAAGTAACTTTGAGCATGCTTTCAAATGTTTCTCAGTTCACTCCTAGAGTGAGTAGATTTCATGTATGTTACCTACTTTCTTGAGTTATTCCTTCCTCCAAACTTCTTTTTTTAATGGGTTGTTAGTAAATACATTTTCTAAAAAATTACTCTTTAAAAATATTTAGAAGTGGCTATCCTGCCACTTATTCAACTCATAAACCTTCTGAAAGATGGACTTGTAATATATGATGTCCATGTGTTTGCATCATGCAAAGATAATACGTGATTTTTTTAAAGAGGAAGTTCATGTTTCCCATTGATTATTGAGAATCCTTGTCTAAAATAACGATTAGAGTCAAATCTTAAATTGCGTTTGGTATGTAAGTTAATTTTAAACTGGGAAATGAATACTAACCTGGTCTGCTTCTAAAAGTTGCAATGTCAAATACTTCCTTCAGAAATGTTCAGTTAAAGGAGGACTCATGCATGCTCAAAGCTAAATTTTTAAAGGTTAAAGCCATTTATCTTTTAGTTTTTGGAGAAGACTACTCTTTATCTCTAATGATAAAGCATCAGTGGTTTATTATTATTATTATTATTAATTTATTTTTGAGAGAGGGTCTCACTTTGTGGCTGAGACCAGCCTGGAACTTGCCCCATAGCCTACGCTGGCCTCAAAGTTACAGTCCTCCTGCCTTAGTCTTTCAAGTGCTAGAATTATAGGTGTGTGCTCCAATGTCTGGCGATAAAGTAGTATTAAGTACAACTTCGAAATGTTTTTAATCTTGGTAAAGAATAACTGATAGGGTATTTCCCTTCAAATTTTATCACTGCACTTTTGCGCAAATGTAATTGTTCGGTTAGTTAGAATTATGCTAAGCATATTAAATATTTCCCATGGAAGAAGATCTTAAAATATATTTTCTTTGCATACTTACTCTATAGCTATGGGAAAATCTTTTTAAAATTCATAACATACACTGATGATGATAATTATGACATCATATTTCTTGCAGTTACTTTGTGAAAAGGAACACTAAGAATTTCATGTTATATGATATGGATAATGGTGAATTAGAAAATGTTTCATATTATCTTAAGGTTTAAAAACCCATAGTATTTTAAGTACAATCCATAGTGCTTATTTGGGCTACTATCACTTCCTATAGTACCAGTTATTCACTGGAAAACTCAGTCTCTACCCATGGCCTGCCAATGTTTAAGTAGTTTTGAGTCATTTTATAAACCAAATTTATTAAATACCATTAGAAAGTACTCACCATTTTTTAAATATTATACTTTTTCTTTATTCTAGTAATTTAAGCTTTTTAAACTGTAAATTCCTTTTAAAATCAAAGAAGGATCCAAGCATTCAGTTTTAAAAGATTGCTTTTATTACCCTTCCCCCAAAATAATTGTCTTTGTCCTCTGTAGTCAGATTTCTTCTTCTTTCTCAATAGAATTTTCTTTACAGCAGACTTTTATTGGGTAACAGAATTTCATGTTAGCTCCAAAATGTTTCTCCTGCTTGATTCACCTAAATGTTCTATTTTTATAACCTTCTGTTCTCTACCTTAAATTGGAAGAATATGGGCTTTGAAATCATCTCAGGCCGAACATTTGCTTAGTTATATGATTTGGGCCTATCACTAAGCTCTAAAACCCATAGTTTCCTCATCTGTAGAATAGGAACATTGTAGTTTCTCCCTCAGTAGTGATTGTGAGAATTTAAAGAAGTAATATATGTGTGATATTCAAACCAGCTCCTAGTTTGAAAGTAAGTGCTTGATAAATGTTAGTTATAATTATTAATCTTGGAATTTCCCCCAAATTTTTGACATAAGCATTAGTATACCATTTTCCATTTGTCTGATATCTTATAAAGACAAGGGAATATCTCATACTGGTTTGTAGAGAGAAAACCTATTGAATGAACTCTGTTTTATTAATGGTGTAACACAACTGAAATGATTGTTGTTTCCTAAGTGAGAAAGTATATTCAATCCAGTGTATTGAAGGTATCTATGGATAGATAGAAATAAGAGTTAGTGAATGCCTTAAATTCTTAGTCTTACTGCTTGTTAAAAGTAGCTAGTGTATTCAGTGAAGGGTATTGTGTTATAATTCAACCACTTAGTGGAGCATTGCTCAGTTGGGGTTCTGTTGGCATTTGGGACAAGATATTTCTTGTCAGTTGAAACTGACCCTCAGGATGCTTGGCATGCTTGTTCTGCCTATTAAATGAGAATAGTACCGTCTCAGTAGTTGTAAGGCTTGTGACAACCAAAAGGCACTTATCTATTTCACTGGTTCCACCACCATATTAGAGTAAAAGGGAATAGTTTTTAGGGGCTGGACATGGTGGTACAAATCCCGAATCCCAGCCTACTTTGGAGGCAGAGATTGAGAGTATTGAAATTTGAGGCCATATCAAGCATAAAGTTAGTGAGATTCCCATCTCAACAAGCTGGGTGTGGTGGTGTACATCTCTGTAGTCCCAGCTACATGGGTGGCATAGGTGGGAGGATCGAATTCTGAGACCAGCCCAGGGCAAATTGTGTGAGAGCCAATTAAAAAAAATAAAGGAAAAGAGGGCTGAGGGGGTGGGGGCATGGCTCAAGTGGTAGAATGCTTGCTAACCAGTGTCCCTTAGTTCAAACCCCAGTACTTCCCAGAAACGGAGTGGGAAATAGTTTTACCATTATAAATATACCCTATTCATATAGGGTATATTATAGATAAGAAGAATGAAAAAATATCTATCTCATTGCCTATTGCTTAATTACTAATAAACGAATGCACATAAATTAGTATTAAGTAGTTCCTTAAGTTACCAAGTGGAGTTTAAGCTCTACGTACAGTTTTTGCCCTGCTTTTTTTTTTGAACCCAAACAAAAATGTACTTTTATTATTAGCAACTTGTTAATCCTCTTTTTTAAACCCATCTCATGTGATTTAGTAAATACGTCATTATTAGACATTCTAGTTTATCCCCCCAGTATAGTGTTACTTTAATATTCTAGACATCTCTTTCCTCAGTCTTACATATTATTTTCTTGGGAAATAGATGGGACTCCTGTTGATTCTTAAAGATGGCCAAACTCTTAAAATAACATCAAAACGGGATGAAGTTTTTTTATGTGTATCTGCCATTTTGTACTTTATACTTTCTTGTATTAAAGCTTTAAACCCATTCAGAATGAAGAGCTCTCAAACTTTCTATTTTCTTAGTACTGTGTGTTTTCAAGAGAATAAATGCAAGTTTTATGTGTTGTAGAAGTGCTTTTTAAAATTTTTTTTTTGACTAACAGGAGTTTTGTTTTCCAAAATTACTTATTTGACATATTCTTGAATTCTGCATCTGGTTTTCAGTCAGTGGTCGTGAAGGCTGATACTCTGGTATACTTTCCCATTGGCATCATGAATATGGTTGACCCATTTGGCAGTTATTCCAGGAAGTTGGAAATTGTTTTTTATCAGAGACATTTTAAAAACATTTATTATATGAACATGGTACACATGGAACATACATGTATTATTTTGTGTGTGTGTTTGTGTGTGTATATACATATATATACACACATATATAGAAAATGAAGAAATATTCTTCTGATATATTTTGTCTTTTGTTCTGCAACTTAGTCTGAGAGATTTGGCAATGAGAGCCTACAAATTTTATTTTACAAGTACAATAGGTAGACAAAGTCTATTTTAGGAGCCTTAATTTCTGTGCCCTTCAGTTAATGTGAATTCTTAGGCTAGTCAGTGTGGTAACAGTGAATAAGTGGTTAATAGCTTAACAGAAATATTTATCATCTTTTTATCTGATTAGCAGCATATTCTCTTTTATAGACTTAAGCATATTATTTATTGTGAAGAGTCACTTTCACTGATTATATACATAATTCTCAAGGAGGCAGTCTCTTTCAGTGTAGAATGTTTTCTAGCAGTGCTTGAATGTTTTTGTTGCTTTTTGGTGTTTTGTAAATATTCATAAGGATCTATTTCTCCAGTGGAGCCTGTTAATGTGCTCAGAAAGCACATGCTAGAACCTTTTCTAAATCTCCTGTCCTTTCATCTGCTCAGAATGAATCACATGTCAGTTTTCCTGGAATTTTGAAACAATGGAATTTACTCTTAGCATTCCATTAACTTTTCTGGTACCCTTAGGGCTACAACTCCTCTCTTTTTTGCTTGATCTCATTCTTTCTAACAATTGATGTACATTGTGCATATTATTAGAAATATTTCCCACATACTGTTTAGTGTTTTTTTTGTTGTTGTTGTTGTTGGATTTGTTTATTTGAGCATTAACTTTGGTTTCTCCTGGAAGAATGATTTTATTTGTGAAGATACCAGATAAGTTTTCATTTTTATACCTTTATTTTTGGTTTTAATCTCTTGTGAGAAATGAAATTAATTTTTGAAGTACTTTATGTTCAGGTACTTAATTTGACAGATAATAAATTTCATTGATAATATGGTGGTTTTTCTTTGAAAGTGTTTTTAAAAAAATAAGTCATATAGTTTTTAAATAAAAATTTTCCCAAATTCAGAAATGCATAGGTTAATAAGAAATATTAGTCTCCTTATAACAATTTAATTTCCAGTTATTCTTGTCGTATTCTGTCACTTTAGAGTATCCTTGGTAGAAAAATACTGCACAAGGAACAAGGTATGGTAGAGATGAAAGTCCCTTACCTTTAAGATCAGTTTATCATAGCTGGTGTGGTGGCAGGTGCCTGTAGTTCTAGCACTCAGGAGGATGAAGTAGGAGAATTGGGAGTTTGAGGACAGCATGGTAGTGAGACCTTGTCTATGAAAAACAAAACAAAACAAAAATAAATGATTTTGATGAGCTTTTTCATGGTACTCTTATCTTTATCATTTGATTAAAGGATTCCTTCTCTCCAAGATAAAATTTATATGTATTGGACACCAAATAATAGTGAGCATAAATTCAAAGGGAAATAAATATAACAGTGTTTTTGGAGTACCAGAATAAGTCTGAGTATTTTGGTGTCTATTCTGCTGCCCATGATTTAGGGTAAGAAATTTAAAAAAATTGTCCTAAAGCAATATAATATAATCTTTGTTTCAAGAATTATTCTTAAATCTCTTTATTTTTTTCTTCCTCAGAAGAGAAACCCAAACCAGATCCAGTGTTAAAGTCTCCCACCCCAGTCCTTAGGCTAGTCCTTAGTGGCGAGAAGAAAGAACAAACAGGCCAGACACCTGAGACTGCTACAATAGAGTCCACACCAGAGATTACTCAGCCTCCATCACCTACCACTGTTCCTCCAGTTGGTCGAAGTTCACTTGTTTCCCCCACCTCTGCTGCTCTTAGTAGCCAGCTGATATTCAGTACTTCTGTAGATGACAGATGTGAACTCTCTTCCTCAAAGAAGATACAATTCCTATACCAAGCCCCACATCTTGCACAGCAGCATCAGACCCTTCATCAACAGATGAAACTGGCGATGGCATATGCAAGAAACCCTGTAGCATAGCAACTAATGATATTCCACTGATTTCTAGCACTAACTTAATTAATGAAATGAATGGACTTAGTGAAAGATTACCAGCCACGGAGAGCATTGTGGAAATGGTGAAACAGGAAGTGTTGCCCTTGACTCTTGAGTTGGAGATTTTGGAAAATCCCCCAGAAGAAATGAAAGTGGAGTGTATCACTGCTCCCATCACCCCTCCCATGGTTCCTTCTTTTTCTCCAGCTCCTCCATCTCCTCCAGCTTCTCCGTCTCCCACTCCAGTCATCGTTCCTGCTGCTGCTACTACTGTTAGTGCTCCCACTGCAGTCCAGAGAGTCTTAGAAGAGGAAGAGAGCATAAGAACTTGCCTTAGTGAAGAAGAAAAAGAGATTCAAAACAAAATAGAGGTAGAAGCAGATGGGCAAACAGAGGAAATTATGGATTCTCAGAACTTAAATTCAAGAAAGAGCCCTGTCTCAGGTAAGCTATTCTGCCATTCATAATCTTATGCTTGCTGAACATGAAGATGAGGCAGTGTTTGAGTTATTTTTTAATTGGCTACTTTCCTTGACTTCCAGAACCATCCAATGAATGCTGAAATTCCTAGTCTGATTTCTTCAGTGGTGTGTTTGTGTTTTAGTACAGCCTGCAAAAGAGTAACTCCATTGTCTAAATATGCAAATGAGAATTTCAAAATACACTAAATGCCTCCAAGGTATATGTCTCTACATGTTGGGTTGGTTTTTTTTGTTTGTTTGTTTGTTTTTATACTTCATTCATATAAATCATTTCTCCAGTTGCTTTTTTGTTGCTTTGGTGCCGGTGTCAAATCCAGCATGGTCTGTATTTCCTTTTTATGTCTTCTCAGAATTTTAACACCCCATCATTCAGTCTGTAACTTAAAGGAACAACTATATGTAAGACCTCTTTTTTTAGTGTAAGATTTAGGAAAATAGCGATCAGAATGTCAAAGGTTTATAACTCCTTTTAAAATACAAAAGTGCCCTCCTTGATTAAATTGCAGATAAGTTTAATATTTTCCTTCTTTTTCTTTTAGAAGTTCTTATTTGGTTTTAATGTAGCATCACCTAAAAACTTAGAACCTGAGTATTGAGTTTTCATTTGTATCAAATTTTAATTCACAGTAATACTAAGCAAAAGTTATCTGAGGTTATCAGTTAATTCTAGTCAGTTACCTCCCAATATTGGAATCTTACATCTTATAAGTCAGCACAGTCCATCTTCTGCAACATTGCCCTGTGCTGTGGAATTTGCTGTGTACATGGCAGGCTAATTTGCTTTTACAAATGGGGGCACATCAACAAATGAATGCACTCCCCATGATTCATCTTAGATATGCACCAGTTCTGGTCATCATCATCCAAAGTGTTTATTACTATATATGCCATAGGTGGGAAACTTGACAAACCAAAAACCTGATCCCTACTTTCAAGATAGAGCTTTCCTACCCAGCTCAGTTCTTGAGGTAGTTTCCTTATCAGTGTCCAGGGGGAGTGTCTGGTCCCTTGGAAATGTTCAAAATCTACTTCAGTATAATGAAATAGAGTGGCAAAGCAAATGATGCAGAGCAGTTGGGATGGAGAAATGTATCATAAATCTTTGTAAGTCACCTGTTTCCTCACCAGACTGGCCTCTATATTCCTCAGTATTTATAGTGCCCATTGCTGTTTTAGGGAGCCTCTTTCCTAGTGAAGAAAAATGATCTGGGGCTTATATGTCAGTCACTCTTGGAAAAAAATACCTTAATTTTGGATGACTACAGGTGAATGCTCTCCAAAGAGAGCATTGTGTTGGAAAACACTAATTTGACCTTTCATTGTTTCCTTTCAGTTACCCACTTGTAAACTACTCAGTATCTAGTGATGTGATAGTTTCAAAAATTAGAGAAGCTGATGAAGACAAATATTTTAAAAACATAAAAATAAATGACAGAATGAAAAACCAAATAATCATAGAGAATACAAATAAAAGATATAGACCCTACATCATATCTGAAGCATTGGTCAAGGAATATCCTGCACCAAATTATATTTCTGCCAATCTCTGACATTCCTTTTCCTTTTAAGCAGTTTGTCTCTTTGGTGGCCTGATAGGCAAGATAGTGCCCAGGGTTAGATGGACACAAATGATTTTGGGTTAAGTAGTCTTCATACCATGACACATTTGTTTGAAATGTCAGTATTCTTGGAATTAGTAACGTAAGTCACCAGCACCTTAGTCAAAGGAAAGGAAAGCATTTTCTCCTTGCCTGGGAATGAGGTAGTTTGTAATTCTGGGAAGTAACTTGTCTTGATGTTGTTCTAGTACCATGTTTTTTTTTAACCTATAAATGTGTGAAAATGGACTAGTATTTGTATTATTTGCCTTAACATCTTACATTCTTCAGAACCAATAGTAAATGAACCTCAAGAATGTAAGCAGTTTATGGCCAGGTGCTGGTGGCTTATGCCTATAATCCTTGCTACTCAAAAGGCAGAGATCAGGAAGATCATGATTCAAAGCCAGCCCAGGCAAATAGTTCGTGAGACCCTATCTTGAAAAACCTTTCACAAAAATAGGGCTAGTGGAGTGGCTCAAGGTGTAGGCCCTGAGTTCAAGCCCCAGTACCGCAAAAAACAGCAGCAAAAAAAATGTATGCAGTTTAGTATTTTTTAAATTATAAAAACACAAAAGCCTATCTGACTCTTGCATTTCTCTGCAGAATTTTTAATGTTTTTGCTATAGAAGTTACCAACAAGAGTTAAAACTACCTTCACTCTTTAAATATATCCACCTGAATTAATCCTATGTTCAGTGACTGCCATCTTATTTGCAATTACATATTATATCTTGTTTACTTTGAGAAATTAACAAATTATAACAATTTGGGTGTTTGTTTTTGAGACGTGGCCTTGCTATGTTTCCCTTGCTTGCTTCAAACTCTTGGACTCAAGCAGTCCTCCTTCTTCAGCCTCCTGAGTTGCATGGGCTATAGGCAGGTACCACCATGCCCAGCTTCTGGACAGAGTATTTGGTGTTGATTTTGAGAATAATTCTTACTTTCTGTTCCTGAAGATGTGGTCCTTCAATATGGCTTCAGGAACCATTTGTTTTTTACAGAGAGCTGTCACTTAAACAGGACATGAACACAATATATAGTATAGAGATACAAACAGTAAAATGGACATAATGGATATAGTCCTTTCTCTTCTGCTGAGAAACATTTTTTTGCAGCTGTTCTATGTGGTGTTTCCATGAAGCAATTGGAGATACTTAGGGGGTTGAAGAACAACCCTCTGTGAAATGGAATTGTACATGTTATCTTCAGTGTGCTCTGACAAGCCTCAGAGACTGCCCAAAGTTTTGACTACTTATTCCTTTTGGCCACTTCAAGAGCTCAGTGCTCAAAACTCTATGTTAATTGTGTGATTTCTTGAGGTCTTCGGACTTTTTATTTTGGCTTCTATATATTTGTTGGGGAAGAAAAGAGGGATATATCCGCATTATCACCCAGGTATTCATTTTGCTGAATTTCAGGAATGTATGTGATGAATACACTATATAACATAAACTTTTCCACTTTTTAAAATAATAGTTATCTTTTAAAAAGGTTCCTCTATCTGATATAATACCATTATTACAAATTGTTTTGTCAGAGGGAGGTTTCTAATTTTTCGATTGTCTGTTTTGGCCCCTCTTCATAGTGCATTGTTTCTCTGCATACATTATCAATTTGTTTTATGAACTCATCTTCAGGTAACATTCCTGGTTGTAGATTGAGGGAAGTCCTTCTCTTTATCTGCCTCATGTCTTGGGGAAAACATTAGCTGGAACTAAATCTGGGGTTGACATCCACAGCCTAAATTTATGCACCAGAATGTAAGAGCATTCCCCATGATAGGTATATTGAGTTTTCTGGGTGACAGCAGTCCCCTCTCCACCTAGCTGAAACAAAACATCTTTCCTTTTGTTGTAGTCTGGTTTATTTTGGTCTTGGGTGGTCATTTTACCTGTTTTTTCACTTGAGAAAACCTAGGTCTCACTAAGCTTCTCCTTTCTCCCAATATCCATCTTCAATGTGCACATAGCATCCTTAGCAACTGTTTCCAATGCCTTGAAAGCTACTTTTCCCTACTAATGCAGAAAAATACCTCCAGTGTACATTTTTCCTTTGATAGATATTTTCTCCATTTTCTATTTTTACATTAAGTGTACTTAGTAATTTTTAATTGCATTCATAGTAGAAGTCATCTTGCTTGTTGACAGGTCTTTTCTTGTGCATCTTAAACATAATTTTTGTGATTTAAACAATTGTTGCCCTCTCCTTTTTTAGTTAGGGTCATTGAGCGTAATTTATATGTAGTAAATTCACCCTTGTTAGCATTCCTTTCTGTGAGTTTTGATAAACCTATAAAGTCATGTAATTACACAGTTCTGTCATCCCTCCCCCGATTCACTTACATTTGGGTCATGTTTTACTGTTATTCTATATATTTTTTATGGGTGAGTTCGTCTACTGTATGACTGGGTAGTTGGCTTTGTCCAGGATGTTTTCGTGACCTCCAAATTTAAAAAATTTTATCGCTATCCTAACATCTCCTCTAAACTTCAATCCTGGTGTGTGTGTGTGTTTATTTTTCTTAGATAAGGTCTTATCATATAGTGCAGGTTGACTTCGAACTCATGTTCTTCCTGCCTCTACCTCCTAATGCTGGAATTATAAGTATGAGCTACCACATCCCACTAAACTTCATCTTAGTTTCTAATTGTCTTCCAAATATCTCTACTTGGAAATTTAAAAAGCGTGTCAAATTCAACATACCCAATACTAAATCACCTGTTCCCCTAAATCTGTCCTCCTTTTCTCAGTTTGTGTCACTGGCTTAATTAGATCATGTATCAGAGTTGATGGGCTTCTCCCTGAGTCTTCTTTTGCTTTTTTACTGTGGCTCCCTGATTTTGATATATTCATTGGCTATGTCCACTCCTGTTTCCTTCTACCTATACTTCTGCATGGATGCCTCTCTTTCCCCCTTCCAGTTTTGCACTCCTTCAAATATTTCTTCACCAAACAGCCAGAATCATTTTTTAAAATGAAGTCTGGAGCCAGGCAGTGGTGGCTCACTCCTGTAATCCTAGCTACTCAGGAGGCAGAAATCAGGAGGATTTTGGTTTGAAATCAGCTGATAGTTGATAGACCCTGTCTTGAAAATATCCAACACAAAACGAGGCTGGTGGGGTGGATGAAGTGGTAGAGCGCCTGCTTCGAAAGAGTGAGGCCCTGAGTTCAAACCCCAGTACCACCAAAAAATAAAAAGTACAGTCTGGGGATGGGAGTGTAGCTCAATGGTAGAGCATTTGTCTACTATGCATGAAGCTGTGAGTTTGATTCCCAGCAAAATAGTACATATGCACATAAGTACATACATACAATTCTGGCCATGTCAGTCACATCTCTGCTTAAAGCCCTTCAAGGTACT